ACACACACACACACACACACACACACACACACACACACTATAAGCAGGTTATGATTAAAAACGCAAAACAAAAGAAACCGACAGCCAGCTGAGAATGAGTCACAACACATATAACCATCGTGTGTAACTTTAGAACCGTTTCCTGCTCTCCCAGTGGGAAGCTAAGGGACACACATTTCATCGAGAATACGAAGAGAAATAACCGGGGGGGGGGGGGGGGGGGGTATGAAGGCTGGTTGTCCAACTTTCACTCTGAACACTGTCCAGGCCCACTCAAGTTCCCCTTCTGGTAGCATAGCAACAAGAGAGATCGAGCAAAACAGACAGAGAATGGCGATGTCCCAATTACCAGCGGGCATCCGGCCAGAGGGGTCGAACATGTTACTCAACATGAATTATTCACCTTCACCTTGGTATATTCTTTCAGATGTAGAGGCTGCCTTCAGTGCACCACCGCAGACATGCCAAGAGCTGGAATTATAACAATCTCTCAGCCACAACATCAACGTCTTTAAACACACAAAGAGGAGCTATTGAAAGTGCCCTGTCGGGTTCTCTTGTGAACAAAACAAATGTCATTTACCAAAACTCATTGCGCGTATTCCTGAGGTCAAACAAACATGCATTTCTTTCCATTTGTTTTCCAGCAAGCAGTCTTTTTCTTCCCTGTGTTTGTTGGCGCATTGCAGTCATTGTATTTGTGTTAAAACATTAGCAGGGCTGTGTATGGCAACGGGCTCATGAATAAACAGCTCCATAGTGCGACTGGAGGTCAAAGACTCCCCAGGTAACCTCTCGGTTCAATCCTGCAACGTCAACAAAGCACAACCTCACAGAAAGGTTCCTGAAAACGAGCAAGTACTGCTTTCGTCTCAACGTTTCATACATTCTCATATAAACACCAACAAACAAAAGTCAGACTCAAAGGCAAATACTGGATGCTGTATTCTGCCAGAACCCACAACACTAAGCTGGTCTACATTAGCCACTGTGCCCTGATTTGACCGCTGCCACTGTGTTTCTGTTCGTCTTACGACTAGGGCTCTGGCCACATCAAAGCGAGGCCGCCGCCACTACACGCCGAACAATTGGAAACGTAATCAACGAGCACTCTGGAGGGGCTCGGGTCCCGTTGGTGCAGGGCGGCAGCAGTAATCCCTCTATCAGATGGGCCCATGATGGCCGCCATCCATTAAACAACTCCCTGGGCATCCGAGCCTCCTTTTTTTCCCAAACAATGTGCCCTCCGGGGGAAAGTTCTGCAATGGCTCCGAGGTTTAGCCACAGAATTAATAAGCCGAGTCAAAAGCCTGAAGATATGATCCCTCTTGAAAGAAGAAAGGGAAAAAACATACGCTTATACGGCTGCTGCTGCAAAGACGCTCTTCACCCAGCATGTGGAAGTAGGGGATAAACACAGAAGACACAATATTGACATTCAAACCTCACATCCTTGATTATGGTTATAGCAATAATATGATATTTCATCTTCCAAAAAAAAAAAAAAAAAAAAAAAAAAAGGAACAGGAACCTTTAGAAGCACGTTTCAGGTTATCGATGGATCTGAGGAAAGACCAACAGATTATGAGTTACATGCACCAAATCGATTCAATCCCATCTTTGGCAAAACAATGAGTTGTTCTCACTCACTGTGTGTATCTGAGGCAAAGACGGATGCTTTCATGTAAAACCGCAAAACAGGCAGTTTACTGTTGGCGCTATTGATCGCGGCTGTAAGAGTCAAATATTTTGTCAATTCATACATCATTTGGAAAACCTCACTCAAAAAAAATCCCAACAATGGAGCCACCAAGCCTTTCTTTACACTACATCTCGTTTACCAGCCCAGTTTGTTTTCTACCCAGTTCTGGGTGAAAGTGTCACTGCATACTAGTAAAGCTATTGTACTCCTCACTATTTCCCTTCTTTTATTCCTCTGAAGTGTTATATTGAAAGACATTGTGCCCTCAACTGGTAGATTAGACCAGTGACTTGTCGATCACACATTACTAACACGAGGAAATGAGCAATCGTTCTTGGCGTGACAAAATAGTGTTGCAACAGACCCACAGCCTGACCCGAGAAACAAAGACGTCTTTACTTAAGTACAAAAACAATTGTTGCATCATCTGTATAACGATCTTTTTTTTTTTGTTTTAAATTCACAACTTATGTTTCCTGTAGCTTTAGAATATTATTATTTTCATCTTGTGGTCTCTAACATTCGTTTGAAAGCATTTCAAACATCCTTCAACTTTTCCAAATGGAAACAGAGGGCTGCAGATAAGAACGAGGATACACAGGATGTGCAATGATGAGGAACGCCTGCTGTGGTCCTCTGGCTCATTAGGGTTAACTTCAGGATGTGTACTACAATTGCTTGACAATGTAAACTACACCACCGCCAGGCCTCCATCCATACCTGCACCTGACTGCATTGCATTACAGCCTGAAGCTGTGGACAAACAGGCCTTCATACAGTAATCCGTCTACACAAGTGTAACAACAGAATGAACGTGGATTTTCAGAGAGGAGCGAGACGATTGTGAGAAGAACAATTATCTTCCCTGTACACCAGCTTGGAGATCAGCTTCACCACGAGGCGTTTTCTTCGTGGCTAGTATTCAATGAAAGAGCCAATTGCAGATTCAACCTGATCCGTCTTAAAATAGACCTCAAAGACACAACACTGTTATTCTACATTAGACTAATTAAAGGGAAATTAACTGACGGCAAAGCAATTTGGTGTGCGATGAGCCAAGTTAAACAGTATTTGTTAGATTTCAGCTACCCTGGTACAAACAAACATCCCACAGCACATCATGTCGGGAACAGCACTCTAAATAGAGCTCATCATGTAAAATCATTCGCCCGCAGCTCAAACCAAATGAAAACGCATTCTGTACATAAACACGTGAATGCAGAAATGATGGTGCGATGAGAACAACCACACGTCTCCTACACATGCAGGGTTTTGAAAAGAATAACGTTGATAAACCGGCATACCAGGGACCCCATTTTCTCGTGAACAGTCACCTCCTGACAGATGTGCAAACAAGACCTGGAAACAGCAGCCATTTTCTCTTGAACT